GTTGTAGTGGAGAGATGAGAGACTATGAAATGGAGAAAAACAAAAAGGAGAAGAAGAAAAAAATGAATAAATAAAAATTAGAAAGAAAGAAGAAAAAAATGAATAAATAAAAATTAGAAAGAAAGAAGAAAAGCAAAGTTCCCAAGGATCCCACCGATGCGGCTGTGAGGTTGCTCCCAGGCCATGAAATACAGCCTGGCTAAAAGGGGTAGAGGTGCCACTCAGTGCCAGGTATTCAGGGGACAGGAGAGAAGGAAAGTATAGAGAGACGAGAAACTGAGTAATGAGGAAAGACAGAAAGGGGAAAAAAAGTGGAAAGAAAACAAACATTAAAAAAAAAAAGAACAAAAAAAACCCAGAAAAAAAAAAAAACCCAAGAAAAAAGAAGTGCCCTCAGGGAACCGTCTGTGCGTCTCCGCAAACTGAGGGGGTAGTTCCTAAGCTGCGCAGCTGCCTGGCTAAAACAGGCTTCCAATTCAAGAAAAGAAAAAGAAAAGAAACAATTCAAAACAAACCAAAAAAGCCCCAGGTTCCCACCAGCGTGGCAGCACGGGCTGGGAAGCAGTCTCACATTCGAGCTGCGTTTCGCAGCCATTCAGGAGGAAGCAGAGGTGGTGCACGGAGCCAGAGATTTGATACAAAGGAGGGGTAGGTGGTGAGAGGTAAGGAAGAAATCCAAACAGCAGAAAAAAGCAACAACAGCAGCCAACAAATGGCAGTTAGGGAGCCGGCCAGTGCAGGCGGGTGGAATCCAAGCAACACTGGGTGAAGCTGGTGCTTCCCAGCCAAGAGACTGTGGCCACAGGAAGCAGAGGAGGCTGGGGGTTGGGGGATGAAGAAGGGTGGGGTGGTGGGAAAGCGTATATTGCTGGTTACCGGTTGTTCTGTCTCCTGCTGGAAGTTCCATGAAGCTGCTTTCTTGTACCCCGTTTGCTGGTCTCTGATAGGGATCCAAGGTGGTGGGTCCGTGCTGCATTAGCTGATAGGAGACCTCTGCGTTTATTTCTCCTCACTGTCTGTTCTCTGTCAGTCTCTTATTCCATTCAGTGCTCGGCTGAGTTCTTTATCTCTTCATTCAATGCTTAGGGTTTCAGGATTGCCGTTTTCTCTGTTTAGCTTAGTTTTTCAGATCTTTGCTGTGGAGGGACAATGTGGTACTTCTGCCTATAGCGCCATGTTGCCCAAAAGTCCCCATTTGCTGAATTTAGAGAAATGCATACACCTATGTAAATGAGACCCCTGTGGAAATACAGGATATTACTATGAACCCAAAAAGTTTCTTGACATCCCTTTCTGGTCATTTTGCACCCCTCCTTCCCCAGAGGCAACCACTGTTCTAATTTTTTCTACCATTGATTAATTTTGCCTGTTCTAGAATTTCATATAAATGGAATTGTACAGTGTGTACTCTTTTCTTTTGTGTCTGGCTTCTTTCACTCAACATAGTGTTTTGAGATTCATCCATGTTGTGGCATCTATCAGTAGTTTGTTCCTTTTTATTGCTGGTAGATTCCACTGTATGACTAATACCACTGTTTGTTTCCCCATTTTTCTATTGATGGACATGTGGGCTCTTGCCGGTATTTGGTGTTATGGATGAAGCTGCTGTGAGCGTTTGTGCATAAGACTTTGGTTAGACATGTAGTTTCGTTTTTCTTGGGTAAATACCTGGGAATAGAATTGCTGGGTCATTGGGTAAGTCTGGAGCCCTGGTGGTGCAGTGGTTAAGAGCTTGGCTGTTAACCAAAAGGTCAGCAGTTCAGATCTACTAGCCGCTCCTTGGACACCCTGCTGTGTCCTATAGAGTCCCTATGAGTTGGAATTGACTTGACGGCAACAGGTTTGTTTTTTTTGGGTTTAGGGTAGGTCTGTGTTTAGTTTTTTAAGAAACTGACAGAGCTTCTCCCAAAGTGATTGTGCCATTTTCCTATCCCTTCAACAGTGGATCAGGCCCTGGTTATGCCACAGGTTAAAACTGAAAAACCTATTGCCATCGAGTAGATTCGAACAGCCAACCTTTTGGTTAGCAGCCAAACTCTTAACCACTGTGCCACCAGGGCTTCACTCCACAGGTTACTCACCAGCGTTTGGTATTGCTGGTCTTTTTAATTTTAGCTGTTCTGGTGGGTATGTGCCATATCTTATTGTGGTTTTAACTTGAATTTCCTTGGGAACTAATGACTTCAGCACTTTTTCATGTGCTTACTGGCCACTCTCTTTTGTGCATTTTCTGTTTGAATCTTTTGCTCGTGTTTTAACTGGGTTGTTGATATAGCATCCATAAGAAAAGTGTGTATTTCCTTAGCTTTTGCCTGTGCAAATATTCAGCAATCATGTGTTTGTAACTCTGAGTACACCTATACGTTCCATGAAAGCATTTTATAACCGAACGTATTTTGTCTTAAAGTAGAAAATGCCCAAATGCAATTTTATTTTTATTTATTGTTGTAGTTTAAGTGAAAGTTTACATTTCGAAGTTAGTTTCTCATATAAAAATTCATACATATGTTGTTATGTGACCCTAATTGCCCTCCCTATACTGTGACAGCACACTCCTCCTTTCCACCCCTGATTTCCCATGTCCATTTAACCAGCTCCTAACCTTCTCTGCCTTCTCATCTCACCTCGAGACAGAAGCTGCCCATTTAGTCTCATGTATCAACTTGAGCTAAGAAGCACACTCTTTACAAGTATCATCTTATGTCCCACAGTCCAGTCCAATCTTTGTCTGAAGAGTTGGCTCCGGGAATGGTTTTAGTTCTGGGCTGACAGAGAGTCTGGGGGCCATGCTTTCTGGGGTCCCTCCAGTCTCAGTCAGACCATTAAGTCTGGTCTTCTTACTAGAATTTGAGTTCTGCACCCCACATTTCTCCTGCTCCGTCAGGGACTCTGTTGTGTTCCCTGTCAGGGCAGTCATTGGTGGTAGCCCCAAATGCAGTTTTATTGATGGTCCTTTATTTCAGGATTAAAAAAAAGAATCTTAGACCTATAGGTTATATTAAAAAAGGATAGATACAAGACGGCATTGAAAGAAAGTGACTGGTCTGTGAGATCGATCACCTAGGTTGCAGGTCTCTGTGTCCTTCACCAGGAACAGTGTAAAAGAGGGAGTGAGCATTTCTGCTTACCTGTCACCTAGGGTTGTGGTGATCAAATGATATAATGTATGTGACAGTACTTTAATGACAAAGCTCCAGGAGAATATAAATTACCAAGATCTGGAAGACAGGCATAATCTTAAATTCATGAGACATTAACAAAGAGTTGAAGTGTTGTAGAAAGAAGTCAAACCAGGCAGAAAAAGTTAATTGCGAATCTTCGTATTTCTCTAAATAGAAACAATTTGAAGGAAAGGTGAATTTGTATATATGCATTTAACTTGCATAACAAGAAGTTAAGTCTGATGAGCCTTCAGTCATTCAGAGGTAGTGCACGTATTCCCTCGGTAACTTGTTTTCTTCTTCAAATGTAAGATACAAGAGGAAAGGAGACTCCTGCCTTGGCATTAACCCTAAGAAGCAGTGTATATCTTGGGAAGGGGCTCCCACAGAAAAGAAGAATTCACACAAGCATGTTGAACGCTATTTTACGAAGAAAAATGTGGGATTGATGAGCATTGATGGCGTTGCCGTTAGCAGTAAAACTGAACCTCCCTCATCAGAGCCGGCCTCATTTATACCAGTGAAGGATTCGGACGACGTGGCTCCTTCTGTCACCACCTGGCTGAACCCTCTGGGGATTTATGACCTTTCCACCACGCAGTGGTTACAAGGACAGGGCCCTGGGGAGCAAGACTCAAAGCCACCAGACTCACAGCCAGACAGAGAGAATGCTGGTCTGAAGGCCAAGGTGGAGGAGTTCAACAGGAAGATTCGGGAGAATCCTCAGGATACTCAGCTGTGGATGGCGTTTGTTGCTTTTCAGGTAAGTGTTGGCTGCCCCAGTTCTCTTACCTTAGAATAAACCCCTTGCTGTCAAGTAGATTCCGTCTAACAGTGACCATATAGGACAGAGTAGAACTGTCTCATAGGGTTCCCAAGGCTGTAAATCTTTTCTCCAATGGAGCGAGTCAGAGAACCACTGTCCTTTCAATTAGCAGCTGAGCACTTAGCCACGGCACCACCTGGGCTCCTTCTGTCTTAGAATGATGTCCCTAATTTTGGGCAGCCCCATTCAATTTGCAGCAATTTTTGAGCTCCTGTGGGGAACCCTGGCACTGGGCACATCAGGATTATTATTAGAATATCGTTCTTGCTCTGAGCTTGCTCCAGGTCCATTGAGGAAGACAGACATGTGAAGAATAAATATAGTCTAGGGTAATAAATGCTGTAATAATGGTGTAATTTGGGAATGGAGTAAAGAAGTGACTTTCTAGCAGAGACTAAGAAATGGCTTCCAAGAGAAGGTAAAATCTGAACAGAAGCTTGAAGGAAATGTAGATGTTCAGCAGGCAGGAAGAGCTTTCCTGAAGTACAAATAGAGCATGCCAGTGCCCAGAATTGTGTAAGAGAAGGGGCTGCTCATTAAATTACCCTAATTGGAGCTCTCTTTCCCTTTCTAAAGTACATGGATTTGTCTTAGCCCCTCATTTTGAGAACCAGTCTTACCATTACCCTGTTTTGTACTGTTGACTGTCTTGTTGGTAAGGCCAGTGCTTCAGAGAAGGCTTTCACAGTGTTTTATGCTAGGTGCTGGTGTATAAATCTCAGTGTAAAATGCCAGAGTGGACAGGTAAAGCAGGTGAAACAAACCCATGGTCAGATATACTAGGTGACACAGGCACCCTAGCAACCAAGTTCTGAAAAGAAATGGTGATAAACAAATGTTTAATGAGAAAGTCTGAATAGTAATTCATTTTGAGAGGTGAGAAACCATTGGTGGTTGTAAGCCCTTCTGCTAAGCTCTGTAGAAATTTTGAGGCTCACCCAGTCCCATTTGCATTTGTAAACTGGTGTTTTGTTGTTGAGGATGAGGTCATGAGAAAGCCGGGCCTGTATGCCATTGACGAAGGAGAGCAGGAGAAGCGAAAGCGGTCCCTGAAGCTCATCCTGGAGAAGAAGCTGGCCATCCTGGAGCGGGCCATCGAGAGCAACCAGAGCAGTGTCGACTTGAAACTCGCCAAGCTGAAGCTCTGCATGGAGTTCTGGGAGCCCGCCACTCTGGTCAAAGAGTGGCAGAAGCTGATATTCTTGCACCCCAACAATACAGCCCTTTGGCAGAAATACCTTCTATTTTGCCAGAGTCAATTTAGCACCTTCTCTGTGTCAAAAATTCACAATCTTTATGGAAAATGCTTGAGTACTTTGTCTTCCGTTAAGGACGGCAGCATCTTATCTCACCCTGTGTTGCCTGGCACCGAGGAGGCCATGTTTGGTAAGGAGAGGACTATATCCAGTGACTTGAGTTGGAGGATTTGCTTTTGGTTTATTTTAGAAAGTCTAAATGGTCTGATAAAACATTTTAAAAAGTATTATGACTCCTTTTCAGTAGAACAGATCCACACACCCCTACCCTGCTCCCCGACCCATGATACTGTATTAGAGACAGTAAAGGCAATCACTGGACTAGAAGTCCCAGCAATTCTACTTGTTAACCAAGTAAACATAGTCTCTTAACCACTTTAGTGGTCGATGGCCTTGTCTGTTGAGATGCTTGTACTGCTCTTCTCACCCAGTTATAGGGCCTCACATGATAATGTACATGAGATGCTCTGGTTAAGTGAAAATCACTGCACAGATATGTTACTGGTGTTATTGTACTGCTAACATTGGTTGGTGGGTCCCAGAGGAGCCCTGAATGTGAATTTTGGCCAGTAACAAGAGACAGAAGTTGGCATGTTCTGCAGGAGCCGTAGAGTATCAGTCTTGAGCTTGCATCCTGGCTTTGACCGTCAGTGGCTGTGCTGTGACCTTGGGCAGGTTCCTTAATCTGTTTTTGCTCCAGTTTCTCCATCAGCAAAACTGGTATGATACCTGCTTTACAGGACTAGTGTGCAGATTAAATGAGATAATATATGTTGAGTCTAGCTCAGTGCCTGGCGCATAGTAGGCATTTATTCAACTGAAACACCTGCTATTGAGTATTAATTACTATTAGCATCTAAAGATATAAATATATTATCTTTATATATGTCTAGAAATAATAAGCATCTACCCCACTGACATAAAGAGCCTATATTTAATATCATTTATGATATGCCCAAATAGCATAATGTTATTTAGTAAATGGAATTGTACCACAGTTAAGACCAAGTGAAATTTTCAAACATAGAACCCTGATTTGTTTACAGCGGACTCTGAGCCTGTGATGAAAATTGCTGGTGAATAATGCCATCTAGTGATCAACTGAGTACAGATCTTTACTTTCTGATGAGACTCTTACGTCATCCTTTTCCTATAATTTTTCTTGTAATAAATAATGAGCGTTGAGTATTTGATAGCCAATATTCAGATGAACCTCTTGACTTATTTCTGTGTACCATATATAGTTTTGTTGTTAATATTTGTATTCTGTGATGGTTTCATTCAAAGATCAGAGTAAATACATACTGATTACAGTACTATTGTGAGCCGTTTTAAATCAGGACATGTATGTATTACAACTTTGAAAATATAAAAGTAACTCATTTCAGGGAAAAGATTTTCTCAGTCTCTAGCTGCCTATTTTTAGGAGTTTTGTTTTTCCTCTTTAATGATGTGACGAGGATTCTGCCCCTTTGCTCTCCCTGTTTCCGGCACTCTTTCTTCAGCAGTGCCACTTTCTGCGGCAGGCTGGTCACTCAGAGAAGGCCATCTCCTTGTTCCAGGCTGTGATTGACTTCACCTTCTTCCAACCCGACAGTGTGAAAGATCTGCCTACCAAAGAACAGGTAGGCTTTCTGCTAACCTGACCTGTGTCTCTCTCTCCCTGGGGGGAAGGTGTGCACACCTTCCACAGCGGCAGGTGGTGGTAGTATTTTCACAACATAATATCCTCCTTTACATCAGTCCTGCTAAGGATGGTTCCTCAGAATGATTCTGGTGATGCAAGGAAAATTCCTTTTTTGAAGTAAGACTCACCGGTGTGCCTTTCTTCCTTACTTGTAATGGCGCTTGTTTAAATGCTGATTATCCCTCAGTCAGGGCAATAGTTGGCATGTTATTTTAAACCACATGTCATTCTCTTCCACCTGTTTGCATTCGAATCCAGGTCTGTGTTACTTCCCCAGGCAACCTTTTCACTACCTAAAATCTTTGCTAGAATTGCTGTTGAAATGATATGTTGGCACTTTGTCAACACCAGTCCTAATTGGGAAGGGGAGATCTTTTTTATGACGAGTGACCATTGCTAATACTTGTTTTGTGAAGCAATACAAAAATCTTATCATAGAGTTAGGCCTACAAGAACACCTGTCTTTTCCCTTTTCCACTGAAGAAAACTCAGTTTTCTACTCTGCAAAGAGGATTTGGTGGAGGATGGATAGGGTACCTGAATTTGTGATGCTAAGGCCCCTGTCATTTGGAAGTTTCATAAATTGCAGTAAAGACCATTCTTATCATATTGGTGCCTCTAGACAAAATTGGGTTAAAGAGTATACCAGTTTATAGTGGTGTAACTTGTTAATATAATAAGCCAAATGACAAAATTTTTATATTTTAAGATATGCTTAGATATTCGAAGAATTTGCCGTGCTGCAGAACTGATTCTTATGTGGACTTGGAGGATTGGGATTGTGGGGGAAGGGGAATCAGTATCAGGACTTCCCTTATCCCCACCCTTTGCTGGGAGTTGCTGTATGATGAGAGATATTATTGATGGACTGGCGTGCACGGGCCATGACCGCCAAGTATTGACGACTGCTGCTCTCAAGTGTCAAGAGGCCGTGACCCACACTCTTGAGGTTTTGAATACTAGCAGCATATGGATTCTCAAAGCATCTGTGTGACAACTTTGAAATAAAGCTTTTTATTTAATGGTATCCCATATTGCCTCTATAACCTAGAGACAGTATTACCATAAACACAGTCGCGAAATACAAAACAGGCAGAGTCTGCTACTACTGGTCTGTTTCTGTGGAATAAAGAAATTGGTTGTAAGCGTTCATCACACTCTTTTTTAAAAGTTCCCTTCCTTCTTTCTCTTGAGTGCACTTTCTTCCATCCCTTCTGTAAGAGCAAAACCTGTAAAGAGGGAGTGCAGTCTCCCCAGCTGCCCTTCCTGAGGGGCCCCACTGCAGAACGCCCGCCCCACCCTCTCGTGACTGTCCTGGAGACTGTGCTCTCCCAGGTATGCGTGGCTGTCCCTGGGCTCAGGCCAGATAATCCCCCGGCTCCTGGCCATGGTGTGCCCGTTGGAAGCCTGCTTGTCCTCTTCAAAAGGATTCTTCTTACAAAAGCTTTCACTGAGCAGGGTGTTGGCTCACTTGTAAAGTCTTTATTGTCAGTTGATAACATGATCACTTTCCTGTCCATGGCTGTGTTCACATTCTGTTCCACAGGAGTTATTTATTGCCAGTGAGCTGGTTGCCACACTGCAGACCTAATGCCCAACGAATGAGGGAAGGGGCCAACGGGGCCAGGCTTTAGAATGCAGACCTTTTTATTCACTGATGTTTGCCACGTGCACATCTGTGCACCAAGTGTCTAGGGAGTCCCTACTGTGTGTTGGGCACTGTGCCTCATGTTGGGATATCAAGTTCCTGAAGATGTGCTCATGCCCTCAAGAGCTCACAGTCTGCCCTTTGGAACTTTGAATCCCCTTCCCTTTAAAAGGTCTTGCAAGCAGGTGTTACTTAGGGAGCCCAGCGGCATTAGGAGAACTGGCATTGCCACCGTCCCTGGTGAGACTGGCCTGGCAGGGTGAGAACTGGGGAAACACTGCTCTCCCATACAGCTGCAGGCCCTTCTCAGCGAACCTCGGCTAATCTTTTTGTAACTTGTCCCAACACTTTGCCCTATTCTGTTGGTCAGAAGCAAGTCACTCGCCTGGCCTGCCGTCACGGGGAGAGGATTCCACAAGAGTGTGGGGTCCCTGGGGGCTCTAGTGCCTACCACACGAGATAATCACGTTTTCTATTTAGGGGTGTGTATCATACACCTACTTGAAAGACTGATCGCAAACGTGATTTCGTTTCAAGAATCATAAGCTCCTCTCTGTCCATCAGCGCTGACTTGGCCCAGTGACACAGCAGTTTTGTGTAAGTTCGGCTAACCTCCGTTTTTTAATCCAAACAGGTGGAATTCTTTGAGCCCTTTTGGGACAGCGGTGAGCCCCGGGCTGGGGAGAAGGGGGCCCGAGGCTGGAGAGCGTGGATGCACCAACAGGAGCGGGGCGGCTGGATCGTTGTCAACCCAGGTGAGGTGCCTCTCGGCTCTGATGTGTCTGCCTTTTTCTTCTGGAATTTTTAAAAAATCGTCATGGTTGTTTGATTGTCTCCATAAGGTTCTGTTTGTCAGTAGCTTGAGAATATTGTGCCACCATGAAGATGTCAAAAACACTAAGTTGATGTCATGGGAAGTAGACTGTTTATCCCCCTTTAGCTCCTCTAAAGCGGTTGACTCCCCCTCCTTGCGTGTATAACTCTCTTGAGGCCTCGAGTTCATTTCCAGAAGAAGTAATGTTAATTTTCCGTTTTCTAGGTTGCTCCTGAAGAAGTAGTAATCTTGTTGTTAACTCTCCCTGCTCCCGCACCCCCACCCCCCCATTTTAGTGAGTATTAAAGCGGTGCTTTTATTTTGTTGGCAGTGTATGGACCAGCAGATACTTTGAAAAATGCTTACCTTTTAAGAAATATTATAAAATAATTATTAATTAGAATTTATTTAGGAGTCTTGGGTGGTGCAAATATAACCTAGAGGTTGGTGGTTCAAACACACCCAGAGGCACCTCAGAAGAAAGGCCTGGAGATCTGCTTCTGAAAGGTCACCGCCTTGAAAACCCTGTGGAGCACAGTTCTACTTTACACACTTGGAGTTGCCATGAGTTGGAATCAACTTGACAGCAACTGGTTTGGTTTTGGTTAGTAACATTTATAAAAACGTCATTTTTAATGACCCCAAGGTACTTTCAGCCAAGTACAGTGCTCTCCAATAGGAATATAATGTGAACCACGTATGTAATTTTTAACTTTCTTATAACCACTTTAAAAAAAAAAAAGTCAAATTAATTTGATGATATATTTTACTTAACCTAATACATTGAAATATCACTTCAATACGTAATCAATATTGAAAAATTATGAGATATTGTGGTTTTTTTTTATACTCTTTGAAATCCAGTGTGCGTTTTACACTTACAGCTCCTCTCAGTTCAGACCAGCTGCCTTTCAGGTGCTTCTTGTTGCTGTTGTTAGGTGCCGTCACGTGGGTTCTGACTCACAGCGACCCTGCGTACAACAAAATGAAACACTGCCCGCTCCTACTGCATCCTCACAGTCGTTGATGTGTTTGAGCCCATTGTTGCAGCCACCGTGTCAGTCCATATCATTGAGTCTTCCTCTTTTTCACTGACCCTCTACTTTACCAAGCATGATGTCCTTCTCCAGGGACTAGTCCATCCTGATAACATGTCCAAATAAGTGAGATGAAGTCTCGCCATCCTCGCTTCTGAGGAGCATTCTGGCTGTGCTTCTTCCAAGTCGGAGTTATTTGTTCTTCTGGCAGTCCATAATTCAAAGGTCTCAATTCTTCTTCAATCTATCTTATTTATTGTTCAGCTTTCACATGCATATGAGGGGATTGAAAATACCATGGCTTCGGTCAGGTGCACCTTAGTCCTCAAGGAGACGTCTTTGCCTTTTAATACTTGACAGAGGTCTTTTGCAGCAAATTTGGCCACTGAAATACATTGTTTGATTTCTTGACTGCTGCTTCCAGGGGCGTTGATTGTGGATCCAAGTAAAATGAAATCCTTGGCAAGTTCAATCTTTTCTCCATTTATCATGATGTTGCTCCTGGGTCCAGTTGTGAGGATTTTTGTTTTCTTTATGTTGAGGTGTAATCCATGATGAAAGCTGTAGTTTTTGATCTTCATCAATAAGTGCTTCAAGTTCTCTTCACTTTCAGCAAGCAAGGTTGTGTCATCTGCATAGTGCAGGTTGTTAATGAGTCTTCCTCCAATCCTGATGCCGCATTCTTCTTCATATAGTTCAGCTTCTTGATTTGCTCAGCAACAGATTGAATAACTGTGGTGAAAGGATACAACCCTGGCACACACCTTTCTTGACTTTAAACCACACAGTATTCCCTTGTTCTTTTTGAACAACTACCTCTTGGTCTATGTACAGGTTCTTCATGAGGACAATTAAGCGTTCTGGAATTCCCATTCTTCAGAATGTTGTCCATAATTTGTTATATGATCCACACAGTCAGATGCCTTTGCATAGTCAATAAAATACAGGTAACATCTTTCTGGTATTCTGTGGTTTCCGCCATGATCCATCTGACATTAGCAATGATATCCCTTGTTTCGTGTCTTCTGAATCTGACTTGGATTTTTGGCAGTTTCCTGTCGAGGTACTGCTGCCACTGTTTTTGAATTATCTTCAGCAAAATTTTACTTGCGTGTAGTGTTACTGTTCAGTAATTTCTGCATCCCGTTGGATCAGCTTTCTTTGGAATGGGCACAAATATGGAGTTGTTTGGCCAGGTAGCTGTTAACCAGATTTCTTGGCATAGAGAAATAAAGTGCTTCTAGTGTTGCATCCATTTGTTGAAACATCTCAATTGGTATTCCGATAATTCCTGGAGCCTTGTATTTCACCAATGCCTTAGTGCAGGTTGGACTTCTTCCTTCAGTACCATAGGTTCTTGATCATGTGCCACCTCCTGAAATGGTTGAACGTCGACCAGTTCTTTTTGGTGCAGTGAATCTGTGTGTTCTTCCATCTTCTTTTGATGCTTCCTGCGTCGTCCAATTTTTTGCCCATAGAATCCTTCAGTAATGCAACTTGAGGCTTGAATCTTTTCTTCAGTTCTGTCAGTTTGAGAAATGGGAAGCGTGTTGTTCCCTTTGGTTTTGTAACTCCAGGTCTTTGCACATTTCGTTATAATACTTTACTTTGTTTCCTCGAGCTGCCCTTTGAAATCTTCTGTTCAGCTGTTTTACTTCATCATTTCTTCCATTCACTTTAGCTACTCTTTGTTCAAGGGCAAGTTTCTGAGTCTCTTCTGACATCCATTTTGGTCTTTTCTTTCCTTCCTGTCTCTTTAATGACCTCTTGTTTTCTTCATATATGATGTCATCCCACAATTCACCTGGTCTTTGGTCATTAGTGTTCAATGTATCAAATCTTTTCTTGAGATGGTCTCTAAATTCAGGTGGAATATACTCAAGGTCATACTTTGGCTCTTGTGGACTTGTTCTAATTTTCTTCAGCTTCAGCTTGAACTTGCATATGAGCAGTTCATGGTCTGTTCTGCAATCGGCCCCTGGCCTTGTTCTGACTGATGATATTGAGCTTCTCCATCATCTCTTTGCACAGATGTAGTCGATTTGATTCCTGTGTATTCCATCCACCAAGGTCCACATGTATAGTCACTGTTTATGTTGTTGAAAAAAGGTATTTGCAGTGAATAAGTTGTTGGTCTTATAAAATTCTTTCATGTGCTTGTCAGTGTTGTTTCTGTCACCAAGGCCATATTTTCCAACTACTGATCCTTCTTTGTTTCCAACTTTGGCATTCCAATCACCAGTAATTATCAATGTGTCTTGATTGCAAGTTAGATCGATTTCAGACTGCAGAAGTTGGTAAAAATCTTCAGTTTTTTCATCTTTGGCCTTAGTGGTTGGTGGGTAAATTTGAATAATAGTATTAATTAGTCTTCCTTGTTGGCGTAAGGATATTATCCTATCACTGACAGCGTTGTACTTCAGGATAGATCTTGAAATGTTCTTTTTGACAAATGGGATGCCACTCCTCTTCAATTTGTCATTCCTGGCATAGTAGACCATATGATTATCCCATTCAAAATGGCCAATACCAGTCCATATCAGCTCACTAATGCCTAAGGTATCTACCTTTATATGTTCCATTTCATTTTTGACAACTTCCAATTTTCCTAGATTCATACTTTGTACATTCCATCTTCCAGTTAATAATGGATATCTATAGCTGTTTCTTCTCATTTTAAGTTGTGCCACGTAAGTAAATGAAGGTCCCAAAAGCTTGACTCCCTCTGTGTCATTAAGGTCGACTCTGCTTCCCCCGTCGTATTTTGAGTGCCTTCCATCCTGAGGGGCTCATCTTCTGGCACTATATCAGATGGTGTTCTGCTGCTGTTCCAGAGGTTTTCACTGGCGAGTTTTTTTAGAAGTAGACTGCCCCATCCTTCTTCCCAGTGTGTCTTAGTCTGGAAGCTCCACTGAAACTTGTCCACCATGGGTAACCCTGCTGGTATTTGAAATACTGGTGGCATAGCTTCCAGCAGCATAGCCACATGCAGGCCACCACAGTATGACAAACTGACAGACGCGTGATGGTTCAGTGCTTAGTAGCCATGTATTAGTGGCTCCGGCAGTGCACAGTGCAGTTCTTAGATATTCAGCCTCTGAAAGGCAGCAGGGTGTGGAGGGATGGCCTGTGGAGGGAGATCTTCCAAGCTGACTGTTTCCTTGAAAGTGCTAGGCGGAAAGAGCAGTGCACTAGGAGACTGACCCCTCACCTGGGCTCAGCCAGCCTGTTGTCACAGGCTCAGTCTTGTCAGGCCTTGGTTTCTTCATCTTCTGAATAGAAAATTTGGATTAGGCTGTGTCTGAGATACCATCTGTGTGGCAGCTCAAAGCTCTGGGCCAGGTGGCATCTCTCTTACCACTAAGGAGCGGACCCTTGAGGTATTTTTGGTAACTTTGCTCTGGACAGTGCCATCAGGTGATGGACATGGCTCGTTTAGGGCATGTGGAAGGCGCAGCTGCTTAGATTTCTCTTGAATGCCAGGAAACAAGAACTGAGCTCTTTGTGCTTACTTACCCACAGTTTTATATATGAAGAGAAAGCCTGCACAGCAAAATGGAAGTAGGTGTTGCATTCTTAACCACTGAACCTGTAATCCCAGATGAGCAAGGGCCAAAGATGAAGTCTTAGTATTCACTCTTCTTTCTCTGAGTGCCTGACTCAGCGTGGCTTTGTATGGTTTCAGGCTGTACTTTTGTCATTTTTTGTTTTTATTTTTTGGTTAGAGTCAGACACTACAATGCATAGTACCTCTGTTAAAGAGCTTATCACAATCTGCATTTCTAAGTTAGATGAGTCCTCGTAGATCCAGAGACCTTGGTCCAGAGACCAAGCTAACATCCCTTCTCCAACAAGTGGCCAGTGTTCATTGGTCACTCATAATCAGATGTAAAGTTTCGTTTTCTCAGAAGGGTGATGCAAGTGTTGAAACCTTGATTTTTAAAATTGCACTGGAGAGGTGTATTAGCACTTATATACCCGTTGCCATCGAGTCGATTCCGACTCATAGCAACCCTATAGGACAGAGTAGAATTGCCCCATAGGGTTTCCAAGGCTGTAAATCTTTATGGAAGCAGACTGCCACGTCTTTCTCCCATGGAGCGGCTGGTGGGGTGGAAACATCGACCTTTCAGTTAGCAGCCAAGCACTTAACCACTGCACCACCAGGACCCCTACATTAGTACTTAACAGTCCCTGCAAACTTTCCCATTTCTATTATAGAGACACTTTTAGTCTTCTTGCTTCATTAATGAATTTGATGGAGGTCCTCCAAAAAGCCAGCCAGGTCAAAAGTTTTGTTTCCAGGAAACTAGTTGGTAAACCGTTTTGTTCGTTTGTTTTGTTTGGTTTTGAAGCTCACTTGTCCCTCCTGACAAGGTTGGCATTTAGAGGGTAGTTAGGAGTTATCATACGTTCTGTGGTATTTCTTCTTGCCTGTATCACAGCTTATTTCCTATCTCTTACCCTCACTTCCTGCCAGTCTGTAATTGTTGTATAGGAAATGACTAAGATGGTTTTCCACTTTCTTTCCATTCTATTTCATGATCTGTGTACTTAAATGAATTCTGGCCAAACTATGTAATCCTTTGAATTCTTAATGTAATAAATTCAGGAATCTGAGTCTGATGTATGACTTACAGGAATAATTGCTCTTATGGTAAGAGTTTTTCAGAGTGATTAAAGGATTACATTAAATGTAATACTTTAAATGTAGGGGAAAGAGATAAATAGTTAAATTTTAATTACCTTCTTCAAGAAACTCAGATCAGTTGGGTAGGAGATTGGGTTTAAAATGCTAATTTATGTATCATGCATTTAAATTCTTTGTTTTTTATTTAATTTTGTATTTTGAAATACTTGTCATAGATACACAAGAAGTCACAAAGGAATGTACACGGAGGTCTTATATACCCTTCACCCCATTCCCCCCAGTGGTAACATCTTGTGTAACTGTAGTACAGTATCAAAACCAGGAAGTTGACATTGATATAATCCACAGAGCTTGTTCAGATTTCACTAGTTTTACATGTGCTCATTTGTGTGTGTGTGTATGTGTTTGTATAGTGCTGGGCAGTTTTATTGTATGTGTAGTTCGCGTAACCACCACCACAATCAAGATACAGAATCTTTTCATTGCCACAGGTTTCCCTTGCACTGTCCTATTACAGACACATCCACCCTTCCCATGCCTGACCCCAGGAACCACTAATCTTGATCTCCATATGGTTATGTTGTTTCATGAATGTTATAGAAATGGAATCATACAATAATAACCTTTTGAGATTGGCTTTTTTTCCTACTCAGTATGATTCCCTTGAGATTCATCCAAATTGTTGCATGTGTCAACAGTCCACTTCTTTTTATTGCAAAGTAATATTCCATGGTATAGATGCACCACAGTTTGTTTAACTGTTCATTTTTTGAAGGACATTTGAGTTGTTTCCGGTTGGGGGCTGTTGGGAATAAAGCTGCTATGGGCATTTGTGTACAGGTTTTTGAGTGAACGTAGCTTTTCGTTTTTCTGTGATAGATGCCTAAGAGTGCAGTTGCTGGGTCTCATGGCAAGTGTATGTTGAGTTTTATAAGAAACTGTCCGACTGTTTCCTGAGTGACTGTACCATTTTACATTTCCTGGTTATTTGTTTTTGTGTTTTTAATGTTTAACTTTATAGATGATTCAGACTTTTGTCCTTGTTCATTCTGCATCTTCAGAGTTGGGAAACAAAGTGAAATAAATTTAGGATATCTTGAATTGACCTTTTTTTTTAGTAAGTTACAATAAGCATAGGTCATAATTATAAGGCCACTAATTAATATTCTAATTGCTGAAGAAAATCTAAACCAATACTTTCATTAAATGTGGCTTGGCATTCTAGAACTGTGCTGTCCAAAACAGTAACCACTAGTGGCTATTTAAATTATAGCTAAATAAAAGTAAATTCTAAATTCAGTTCCTGCATTTCAGTAAAAATTCAGTAAGCTACATTTCAAGTGCCCACGAAGTCTCCTGTGGCTAGTGACTTCCATATGAGACAGTGCAGACATAGAACGTTTTCATCATCACATAAACTCCTATTGGACAGTGCTGTTCTAGAGTGTTAGTCCCATTTTAATTGCTGTGATAACATTGAAAATCATCTGATTTCATCCACTTATCTGCCTGTTTTCCCTAGGAAGTTGGTTGATTACAGGTGAGTCCGTAACTGCCAGTGGAAGATCGGCTTGGCTCTTATTCATCTTAGCACTCCGAGAGCCAGCATAGTGTCTGGCATAGGTTGATTGGGTGGCAGTGGGGCTTTGTTTGCTGATTAGATGAACCAGAAGTTTTATTCTTACCTAGATGAGGATGACGAAGAGCCAGAAGAGGATGACCAGGAAATAAGAGATAAGACCCTGCCCAGATGGCAGATCTGGCTAGGTGCTGAGCGTTCCCGAGACCAGAGGCACTGGCGACCCTGGCGCCCTGATAAGAGCAAGAAGCAAACCGAGGAAGACTGTGAGGATCCAGAGAGGCAGGTAAGTCTCCTCTGCCCCAGGAGGGAAGCTGGCTGTGGGGGTCATTGCCCTCTTCCCTTTCCCATGGTGCTTCCATTATCTGAAAGAAGCAGCTGGGCCGTTGTTGGACTTGGCTGGCTTAGCAGGTGCTCACCTACCCCTGTTCATGTCTGTGGACACGTCCCTCCTACTGAATACCAGGGTAGAATTTCATTGGCCACTGGTGGTGGGGAGCATGTACAGACTAGACCAGATGGTTGCTGTTCCTGAGTAGAGGCGTAGGCACTTGCGGACACCCCTCTGAGACTGTCTGCAGGTTACTGACTTAATTTTTCGTGTGGAAGCCTGAGGGCCTAGGGTCGAAAGAAGCTGAATCACTGCCATAGATGGTTTAACTGTGTCCACTAGCCGTCCCTCCCCTCCCCCGTCTTTGCTCCACAGAGATGTAGCAGATAGGCGCCACTCCGGAAGACGAGAGGGACCAAATGTAGAGCCCAGGTTGGGACAGTTGCACGCACATGTCTCTGGCTGGAGAAGAGGCTGGCATTTATTATGTACTTGTTGAGTGCCAGGCACCTCCCGTATGTCACCTTCTTTACTGTTACAGTGACTTGGTACCTGCCGCTGTGAGTTTAGTGGCCAGCAGCTCTGGAGGATTCAAATTAAATAAAGGGAGACATTCTCTTTGATGCCTGGAAGTGACCCAATTTCAGAAGATAGTACCAACTACACTGCTTGGTGTGCGGCATGTTGTAGGTACAGATTGAGCGGTTTTCACAGTAACGAAGCTTGTCAGCCTGGCTTGGTGTGTTGTCTGTGACCCTCCCTAGAAGATGGGCGCCTTGAAGGTGGGGATTTTGCCTGTTTTGGTCACTGCTGGGTCTCAGGTGCATAGAAGAAAGCTTATCATGCAGTGAGTGCTCAGTTAATAGTCCTTAAGTGTTGAATGAGTGTTCGTTAGATGCCAGAGCCTCTGCTCTGGGTGGAGGGATCAGCATGAGTGAAGGCCTGGAGTGCCTGGAACATTCAAGGACTGGCGAGTGGGGTGACAAGACTGGGGTTAGGACACATGGGGTGGGGTGGAGAAAGAGATGATCTCTGGGCAGCAAGGAGGGGCTGACTTGCAGGGAAACCTCAGTTCCCCGGAGAGCTTGGTGAGTGGACTGTGGTGGTGAGGAGTGTTTCTGCGTGGAGGCGCCTTTCCTGGGTAGAGGTGAGTGTTCAGGAAAGAGCAAGGTCGTTCTTTCACGTTTGACAGTTTAACAGAGTCTAGGCTCACCCTTGCGGAAGTTGATTCTCAAGGCTCAGAATTATGGCAGTCTCCAGGAAGCAGTGATGGCAAAGTGGTTCAAGTGCCCGGCTACTGACTCAAAGGTCAGCAGTTGAAACTCACCAGCCGCTCCGCAGGAGAAAGATGTGGCAGTCTGCTCACCTAAAGAGGACAGCCTCAAAACCCCATGGGGGCAGCTCTACCCTGTCCTGTAGGGTCACTGTGAGTCGGAATCGACTCAACGGCAGTGGCAGCGGGGGTCCAGGAAGCAAATTTCTGGAGCAGACTACTGCTGTGAGCAATTTCTCATGCTTTAGCCTTTTCTCTAATCAAAAGCTTTCTAATGGATGGTTTTGATTAGTTGAGTCCCAGGCAGGCTGGTTTTATTGGGCTTCTGCTTTGATTTCCTCTTTGCTGAGAGCCAGTCAGATGAGCAGCACCTGGACAAAGGAGCGTCTCCATGACCTTGCAGTTTAACCTTGTTATATAAAATCAGCTGCAAACATTTACAGTTTGGTAAAAGGCTCTCATAATTGCTTTTAACATGGTCCATTGCTCCTGTAGTGTCCTTCTTACTGCCGTTTATCTGTTTTTGAGCCTGTTTTTCATTTCTTGAAGCAGTTTTGTACAAAGAAACCACAAAATAGTAAAATCATTATCTTTCATCTTAAAATGAAAATTTTGCCCAATTATAATTTATTAAAGTAATTACAAAAGCAGTTCCGTGCACTTTCAGAAGTGAGCATGATCGCAGACTGTCGTATTACCCCATTAGGGCATATTCCGAAAGCACCGTTGGTGTCTCCCCTCCTTTACAGTATGGCCGGGGCGTGTGCGAATGCTCACGGCCCTGCAGGGCTGCTGACAGTTCCTCTTAGCTCTCCGGGGAGCCCTGTGAGGCCTCTGGTATTTATGTGTCTTGCAGAAAACGTCTTAGCTGTCATGAAGTTGGCCCAGACTCATGGCAACCCTGTGAGTTACAGAGTAGAACTGCTCCATAGGGTGTCAGCTTTACAGAAGCAGTTCTCCAGGCCTTTTCTTCCCCAGTGCCACTGCGTGGGTTCGAACCACCAGCCTTTAGGTTATAAGCTGATCACAAGCTGCCTGTGCTAGCCAGGCCCCTTGCAGAAAACCTAGCACCGGTCTATTTAAAATCTATGTTAATTTGAATAGTGTTGTATCATAAATACATTCCTATAATAAGAATCATGGGGAATATTGTTGTGTTAGGCTGTGTTCTCTAGAGAAGCCAAACCAGCGAAGGCTTTTTCTTTGTTTTCTCGAGAACTGCACTGAGCTCTGGGACGGGTCACTTTCTTCTGTCTTTGTTGCAGGTGTTGTTTGATGACGTTGGACAGTCTCTGATCAGACTCTCCAGCCAGGATCTCCGGTTTCAGCTGGTGGAAGCCTTCCTGCAGTTCTTGGGTGTGCCTTCTGGCTTTGTTCCCCCAGCCTCCTGCCTCTATCTGGCCATGGATGAGAACAACATCTTTGATCCTGGGCTTTCTGAGGAAAAGCCATTGACTTGTTCCACCCTTTCATTCTCCGGCGTGGGCCGTGTCGGCCGCATGGACCGCTTGGGCTGCCAGCGATGGGCCCAGGGTCACAACCGAGAGGGCGAGGAGTTCATCCGCAATGTCTTCCACCTGGTGATGCCTTTGTTTTCAGGCAAGGAAAAGTCTCAGCTCTGCTTCTCCTGGTTACGACACGAGACTGCAAAGGTGACCTCCAGCCTCATCCTCCTTGTCTTTGGAGTTTGTGTGCTTTCATTGTTCATAGATGGGCTTGTAAGGCTCTTGCTCTCCCGGGAACTGTGCCACATCCCCTTTCTTTAGTGACTCCTCCAGGCACCTCAGGGGTGGCTGCCCCTGCTGTGGGGCTGCAGTGAGAGGAGGACAAGGAGAGCGAGTCCTGCTGCTCGGGTGACTCCAGAGCTGTTTATTGTGTTCCTGTGTTACCAGATGGCTGATTATATCAATAGTTAGTATTAAGAGCCAAGCTTATGCCTAAGCAGGGTTAGAGGATTTAGGGGTTTAATAAGCTGCTTACTTAGCGTACTCTCTCTCTGCTAGAAATTAGTCTGGGATCGACTGTTCTGCCCTCTGCTGGCCACCAGTTAGTATTGAATCTTAGCAGCAAAGTTCTGAAGCTTTATCTACAGATCTCACATACTGGATTGTCTTGTTAAAGTAATCTCTTTGCTGAAACTTGGTAGCCACATCTCTTTGGAGAAGGGCGCTTTGAATGTATAAGCCTTGAGAGAGTTCACATGGGGACCTGGATGCATTATTTTGGGGACACCATGGGGACCTGGATGCATTATTTTGGGGACACCTGGGGCCCTTCTAGAGTCTCTGATTTGATTCCAGGCTCAGAGAGCCTGAGAGCCTAAGTACTTACCAAACACGGTAAGGGAAGGAAGTGAGACACCTCGTGCAGCTTTCTAGAGCTGACAGTATAAAGGGATTGCTTTAAAATCACAGAGCACTTGAAGCCTTTTTTTTTTTCTTTTTTGTGCATATAGGTCATTTGGTGTCTGCACACTAAAAACAAGAAGAAATTAAAGTCCCAAGGAAAGAACTGTAAAAAACTAGCCAAGAATCTCCTTAAGGAGCCAGAAAACTGCAGCAGTTTGTGCCTCTGGAAGCAGTATGCACACCTGGAGTGGCTGCTGGGCAATACAGAGGACGCCAGGCAGGTATTCGATACAGCGCTCAGCATGGCCGGTGCCAGGGAGCTGAAGGATGCCGAGCTCTGCGAGCTCAGTCTGCTATATGCAGAACTGGAGGTGGAGCTACTCTCGGACTTGAGAGGGGCCGCTATGTCCAGAGCTGTCCACGTACTAACCAGACTGACCGAGAGGAGTCCCTACGGGCCCTACACCGGCCAGGTCTTGGCCGTTCACATTCTGAAGGCCCGGAAGGCTTATGAGCGCACACTGCAGGACTGCTTGGATGAGAGCTGTGTCTCAGACCCAGTTCCCACCAGCTCCGTTAACCGCCTGGTGAGCTTGGCCAAATGCTTTATGCTCTTCCAGTACTTGACCACGGGCATTGATGCTGCTGTGCGGATATACGAGCAGGTATTTGCAAAGCTGAAGGGCTCTGTGTCCCCTGCAGGCTCTGGCCTGGAGCACAGCGGCAGCCCCCACGGTCTGGCCAGCGCCATGGAGGCTGTCACACTGATGCACACAAGTTTGCTCCGGTTCCACGTGAAAGTTAGCGTTTACCCCCTGACTCCGCTGCGAGAGGCACTCTCCGAGGCTTTGAAGTGGTATCCGGGCAACCGAGTTCTTTGGAGGTCGTATGTTCAGATTCAAAGCAAGTCCCACAGTGCCAGCAAGACCCGAAGATTCTTTGATGGGATCACCAGGTCCACCAAATCCTTGGAGCCTTGGTTGTTTGCAATTGAAGCTGAGAAAATGAGGAAAAGACTGGTGGAAACTGTTCAGAGGTAATTACAGATTGTCTTTTTCATGTGCTCCACAAAGCTTTCCAGAATGCCTGCCATGTGCCCACCGCTCTGCTAGGTCTCGAGAATACAGAAAGGAATATGGTACAGTGCCTGGAACACCTGCTGTGGATACTTAGGTGTCGTAGAATAACAGTGAAAGATGAATAAGCAGCACCCTATTAGAGGTATCAAGATATCTGCCTTCCTAAACCAGGCTTCTTGGGAGCCCAAATGTTTATGGAGCATGAGTGGCAATTGTCTGACCTTCAGAGCATCTGGGAAGCTGTAGTGAATGCATACAGGTTGAGAACACGGGCTCTGGAGTTGAACTCTCCATATTAAATTCCCAGCTCTTCCACTGATAGGCTGGGTGACCTGGACAAGTCCCTTCAACTCTCTAATAGGTTTCTCATCTGTAAAATGGGCAGAATTAAAGAGCCCACCTCATAGGGTGGTTCTGAGGGGTCAGCAAGGTAAGTGCTTAGCGCAGAGAGAGTTGGATAATTATGGGCTTTTATTATCATGAATAATAATAGCATCACGTCTCAGATGTCTTCTTTTGGTGCCATATTTTGTACCTGAAGGTTCAGTGGTGGTCTCGGGAACACATTAACTTAGGCATTTTTGTTCCTTCCAGAATCTTTGCTGCTGCTTCACTCTGCATTCATTTGGCAAACTTGCCTCTGAATAGTATTTCACTGTAATTGTTTTTTATTTCTTCCATTGGGATTTTATTTACTCCATAAGAGTCTTATTTTCTCTACTTTAATGGAAAGGTCTTCCTTTCACATAAACTATGATCTGCGCTCTGCTGATTGTGGGAGGCCCTGGATGGTGCGGACAGCTAATGCATTTGGCTGCCAACTAAAAGGTTGGCAGTGTAAGTCTGCCCACAGGCACCTCAGAAGAAAGGCCTGGCGATCTAATTCCAAAAAATCAGCACATGAAATAGAACTGGAGCACAGTTCTAACACACATGGGGTTGGAATTGACTCAATGGCAACTGATTTTTTTCAGAAAACAAACAGCCAAGTAGTTCGTTTGTGACTCTTGGTAGACTCCACATGGTGTAGAAGCCACAGAAGCTTGGGCTGTGCCTTCCACTGGCTGTGGAGAAGCTGCATCTGTGCTCACAGAGACCCGAGGGACAGCACTGCTCCCTCTCTAGCCCAGTGGTTGTTGACATTTGTTACTACTGAAGTAATTGCTCCTATGATGTAGGACGAGAGCTTAGAGTTACATGAGCCTTTTTCTTGCAGGGTAGAAGGTAGAGAAATACACGCCACAGTTCCTGAGAGCGGCTTAACAAATCGAATCAAAGCCCTGTTTGAACATGCAATCCAGAGTGACAGCGGCAGCCAGTGCCCCTTGCTGTGGAGGATGTACTTGAACTTTTTGGTAAGAAAATACATAGAGTTTGTATTTGTACACAGAGCTCTACTCCTGCTTCCTGAGTGAGAAGGAGCAGGTTTCTAGTACCACTGCTCAGGGAAGCTGGGAGGGGCTTGTTTCCACCGTTCTGTCTTCCCAGCATTGGCTCACCCTTGCAGGAACCCTGAGAGAGTGATGTCAGGCTTCTCACGGGGCTGGGGAAGGGGTGGCAGGCTGCATTTTCACTCAGGCTATCTGGTAGAATGAGACTGAAGAGTAGTCAGGGGCCAGTTGTTACAGTAGAACTTAATGTGGGCTTCTCTTGAGTTAACTTCATCAAGTCAGCAACTTGGAAAATTGTTCTGAAGCCTTCCTTTGAAAGGGACCTACATTCTTTGCCAGTTTGCTCTTAAGAATTGTCAAGGTCTTGATCCCCCGACAGTGTAGTACATGGAGACCATACCCAACAGGCCCAGCAGTGGTGCCAGGCTGTCCACACAGGCTGACCCACTGTGGCTGGCGCGTCCACCTGTCGGTTCGGTTAGTACAGGAGGTTTTTTGATGCCTTCGGCTCACCTTTTCCGTTCTTTTTTGTATTTTTTCCTCGCCTCAGGTTTCCTTAGGAAATAAAGAAAGAAGCAAAGGTGTGTTCTACAAAGCACTTCAGAATTGTCCCTGGGCAAAGGTAAGTCTTAAAAGCTAAGACTCTTCAGATTCCCACTGACCTTACTTTTAAGCCTCAGTCTGGCCACTGTCTGCCTGGCCCATCCCTGGGTCACGTGGGACGTCAGTTCTGGATGCCAGTACCCCATCCCAGGGCACAGCCAGGACTTTTTTTAAGTGAAGCTCCCACACGTGGAGTTTATGGGCGTTTTCGTCCTTTCCTTGCTGTGGAAATGGAGCTTCATGCATAGGTTGCTGTGGGAGCTGGTTTACCAACATCCGCCTCAAGTTCAGCCCAGATTCTGAGAGTCAGGAGCCCAGCTCAGAGACGCTCAGAAATCAAACTGATGGCGACCAAAATGTCTGCCAACAGCTTCTGGCGCCACAGTCGAAAGAGAAGGCCTCGCTGAGTTTTCATTCTCTTTCCCTCCGTTTTTGTGAGTTCTGCGTCCTTCCGGGAGCCTGGCTCCGTGTTGACTGGGTTAGGAAAGCCAGAGTCTGCGGAGAGTAGCAGGGTGGGCACTCTAGGCACCTTCTCCTTGTTTCCTGAGCTCTCCCCAAGCTGACAGGAAGTGGCTGACTAACTCAGGCGGTCTTTCTCCCTGCTCGTAGGTGTTATACATGGACGCCGTGGAGTACTTCCCTGATGAGATGCAGGAGTTCCTGGACCTAATGACTGAGAAGGAGCTCCGGGTGCGACTGCCGGTGGAGGAGCTGGAGCTCCTGCTTGAAGATTAGCGACTCAGAGGGCAGGGCCCGCGCCACCAAGGCCAAGTGGCCTGCCCTGCCGGAGCCTGGACGAGCAAGGGGGAGCTTGGGCGGACTGCGGCATGTGTGTGTTTGCACACACACATGCTGAGAGACATATACTTCTGAGATTACTCTTTCTCGATCATTTGTGTCTGGGTTATCAGTCTCCCACACCTTGCACATTTTTAGATGTGTAAGTGACACAAAAGCTATTGTTTTACATATTATATATGTGTGTGTGTGTGTACATAGATGGATAATTGTGCCAAGTGGTGATTAAACCTGTGGTGGTCGAAGTGTGTGCGAGTTCTTGTTTGTTCTGCCCTCCCTCTGCCCGGCCAGCACCAGCCCTGCTCTAGTGAACGTGTTTCCTCAGCAGGCCTCCTTGGTGGGTCTGCCAAGTCCTCTGGGGTCTTGCAGTTGCAATTGGAAAGGTCTGAGACCAGTTTGGACTTAGAGGTCTGGTTACTCAACACTGGGGCCTTCTCCCCAGGCAGTTAGTAGATAACCAGTTTCGCCCTCATCTTCACATAGGGGCTGGCTCTACCAGCAGAGAGTTATTTAAATCTTGATGTTCCAGCCTGTATCAACTGTGTCCAGAGTTCCTCATTATTCCCTAAGTCCTTCTGCTCAGGTGATGCCTACGTCTGTGTGCCAACGGCATCACCTGAGAGCCTGTTAGAAATGCAGAACCTGCATCTCGGCTCCTAGGTATCTACCCAAAGAACTGAAAGCAGGAACTCAGACAGATACCTGCACACCAGTGTTCATTGCAGCATTGTTCACAGTAGCTAAAAGGTGGAAACAACCCAACTGTCCATCAGCTGATGAATAGTAAACAAGATGGGATATATCCATACAATGGAACATTATTCAGCTGAAGAGAAATGTGATGGAAAAATTTGGAAATGGATAATGGTTGCACAACATGATGAACACGATGTCCGTGAGTTGTGCATGTAAAGAATGGTGAAATGGCGATTTTTTTTTTTCATATATATTTACCACAATAAAAAAAAAAAAAAGTGATGTAGGGTCATAAAGAGGTAAAGAAGGCATGAGGCTGGGTGCTTGCCTCTGTTGAGGCCACCATCTTGATCCCAAGAATGTTCTGACTCAGTGACTGGGAAAAAATTAAACTGTTAGAAGTGCCAAAATAAAGTGAGAAAAACCACACAGCAATATGTTACAAATAAAAATTGACATCTAATTAGAAATATTTAGGGCTGTAAAGATTGAGTCAGGGAAAATCAGGTTTGGTAGACATCATACAAATTACTGAAACCACAATGGCCTAAATTGCACTTTGTAAATTTTGTGAATAACTGAAATTTGATGAAAGAATAAAGTGTTGGCCAAGCTTACATCTGGTTGGTGGTTCAAACCCACCAGATGCTCTGCAAGGGAACTATGGGGCAGTTCTCCTCTGTTCTACAGGGTTGCTGTGAGTCAGCCGTGGGTTTGTTGCTTAAGCGGTACAGAGTTTTTGTTGAGGGTGATGACAAAATTTGGAAATGGATAGTGGTGATTGT